ATGTATGCAGTGGACTGCATACTTTTACTGAGACACCTGAGGTGGCTCGGTCATGTGAGCCGTATGGATTCCACGCAGATATCGAAAAATCTCTTATACAGTCAGCTGAGTATTGGGAAGCGGCATTTGGGGAAACCCAACTTATGTTTCCAGGACATGATCAAAGTGAGCTTCGCAAGTTCTAATCTTGAATGCAGGTCATGGGAATCGAAGGTGGTTGATCAGCGTGCATGGCGCGATCTAATCACGAAACCTTGCCGAAGTGCGGGAGAAAGACCTCATACATGCAGAGAAGAAGCGGCAAGTGCGGAAGCGGTAAGCAACGATGGGTTGTACTCCATCGACATCGAGTGCATGGTGCTGTAGCACATGCGGTCGCGAGTGCTTGAGTCAGGCAGGCTTAGTGAGACATGAGTGAGGCCACTCGGGACCACTAACGAAGCGACGACGGGTACTGCAGAGAAGGTAGACAGAATCGGCGCAGCGTTTGTAGGTACGCTGCATTCGATTTACTAACCGCGCTTACATGCTAAGTCTCTTATTTCAGGTGGTGGGTTTTCAGTTTTGTCCTAATACTTTTCTTTCTCATTTAAATATCTACCTGTACTCTCTTCTATAAACTTGCACACGTCGCTTAAGCCAACTGTAGCTAATTTCGATAACATTTTCGTGTTTACGGCATTTCCGTAAATATACTTTCCGACCTCGTGAACTTACCTCGGATTCGTTGGTAAACAACTTATTTCATATGCTCATTATTTTAAGGTTCATGTCACCGTTTCCTTATGCATTAGTCGATTTATTTTGTTTGTTATCTTTCACACAAGTGATTGGCTGTTGCTTGATATCCCCGGTGTCGCTGCGCTTGATGTGCATGTTGACGAGCTGCCTACCTGTCTATTACCTACTACCTCGTCCATACTGGCTTCAGGAGACAGTCGTTGCTGGAGGGGATAGGGTACACGGTCCTTGTGGCCGTGCTAGGCTCAAAGAGCGGTTCCATGCACTCAGTGTGGAGCGGACTACGGTCCAGCCACCGCCTTGTGTGCGCTTGATTCCCCAAATACAGTGTGCTTGTGTTCGCCTTTGAAGGAGTGTGGGCCGGCTCCGTCGATGAAACGTGGTTCCTATCCACATGCCTCCCGGTCTTATTCCTTCGGGTTTGCACTGGATATGGGGTGTGTGGTTGGAGCTGTGGGTGGTGCAGCGCAAGCCACCCATGGTCCCTCTGTAGGCGCAGGCGACTTGCGGTTGGCCACAGTGATAGGTAAATCCGAGACGGGATGCCGCCAACCATATATATGGTTGACGGCATCCGGTTTCGGATTTGCCTGTCACTGTGGCAAGCCACAGGACGCCTGCGCCTACAGAGGGACCATGGATGGCTTGCGCTGCACCACCCACAGCTCCAACCACACACCCCATATCCAGTGTAAACCCGAAGGAATAAGACCGGTAGGCATGCGGATGGGAACCACGTTTCATCAACGGAGCCGGCCCACACTCCTTCACAGACAAACACAAGCACGCTGTATTTGGAGAATCAAGTACACACAAGGCGGTGGCTGGACCGTAGTCCGCTCCACACTGAGTGCATGGAACCACTCTTCGAGCCTAGCACGACCACAAGGACCGTGCACCCCGTCCCCTCCAGCAACGACCAACTGTCTCCTGGAGCCAGTATGGACGAGGTAGTGGGTAATAGACAGGTAGGCACCTTGTCAACATGCACATCAAGCGCAGCCACACCTGGGATCTCAAACAACAGCCAATCATTCGAAATGCCGTTATCGAATAAAGTAAACGCATATGACGACATAAATACTCGCTAAATGAGCATATAGAAGAAGTCCGTTATAAGTGAATCCGTGATAAATACAAAATGTCCGAAAGTCATTTAAAATTACCACGCGATATAATTACGCAAGTTTACCACAATTCGCGTGAGCGACGTGTACAATTAAGGAGAAGATTATCAAGTACGCAGAACATACCAAATAACATGTAACGAATTTTATCCACATTAAAAAGACCTAGTTTAAGTGTAAGTTGGTTTAGCCTAACTGCGGTGAAGAAGCATCATGAATGCAACATCAGCCTCAGCAAGGGGCACTAACCATATATATATATATATATATATATATATATATATATATATATATATATATATATATATATATATGCAGCTGCTTACACACTAGACATCGAAAACTATGGAATGATCGCCATGACGGGTTACAACAGATCCCAATTGGCGCACTAACACCTATATCGGGTTTGGAGCCAAGAGCGACAGATGAGAGCCCTAAGCCTGTCCGCTCCTGGAGTTGTTCTACGGAAACCGGTGTATTCACGCGCCGCAAATATCACAACAAGTTAACGCGCTATCAACCCCTACATTCCATTTCCTCACCTGTTATGAGAATTCGCACAGAGTGAGTAGAATCAAAAGTTACCGGCTGAGACTAGGAAATAAGCTCACAAGGGCTAAAATGGGTATTTCTCTGAACGTAAACCACATTAGATCTCATAGATAGCATTGTTCTTGTACCAACTGGAGTGGATTGTTTCAGTTACAGTGAATGGTTGACAAGAGTTGAGAAACGTCAGTCAACGACAGTGGAAAAAACGCTACAAGTAAAGTCGTCTAAAGTCCTACTCATCTATTGCGCTATATTTCGGATTTGGTCCCACGAGATTAGCCTTATCTCCAATGATGCGTTTGAGAAATTGGTGAAATGACAGGATGAAAGCACTCCAATTCTTATCATGGTAATTAAGAGATCCACTGAGACTATTTGGTTACTCAGCACACAATTTGCCTGCAGTTAGTTGGTTGTGGACAGCGTGCGTACACAACGAATCTATTAACCTCATGGAGTAGTTTGACCGAGTCAGCTGACCCTGGAGAGGCCGCTGATGTGATCTAGTTGGATTTGTTGAAGGTATTCGGACGTTTAGATCATGGAATTCTCCTTTCCAAGCTCCAATAGTACGGGACCGGTGACCCTCCCTTGAGCTGGATCGCTGGAACGATTATTAGTGGTCAGAATCCGGATTGCCCTATCTGAACCCATAACATTTGAGTGTGGTGTGCCCCAGGGCTAAGTTCTAGGTCCACGATTGTTTTTGGTATTCATCAACGACCTTGCCTTGAATATCGCTTCAAATTTCCTGCTGTTTGCCGACGATCTCAAGATATGGTGCCGGATTCAGGCGGATACCGATCGGAATTTACTTCAATGTGACCTAGATATGGTAAATGATTAATCGACCCGAAATCCTTTGCATTTCAATGTGGGCAAGTGCAATGTATTCTGTATACGATACCAAAGTACCTATTCCCACAGGCTCAGAAGGAAAGTACTACAGCGGTCATCCGTCGAATGCAACCTTGTCGTCCTTGTTCAGGATAACTTGGGTTGTTCCAAGCAATCCACAAAGGCATCGAAAACTGGTAACCGGCAAGTCGGCTTGCTACAACGGGCTTTCGGACAAACAGATATCGCTACTTTCAGACAGATACTGAGTGCGTATGCTCGTCCCCATGTCGAATACGCAATCAAAGCCTGGCAGCTATGGCTGAAGCACGACGTTACTGCACTGGACCAACCTCAACATCGGGTTTCTAAATACCTTATTGGAATGCGCCACCTTCCGTATGAGCAGAGGCTGAAACGCTTGGGAGTATTCAGCGAGCGGTATCGCAGACTACGAGGCGACTTGATTACGGCGGAGTTGATTTTACATAATCCAAATCATGTGTACCACTCTTTACTGCAAGTCAGCAGCAACAGTTAACTTAGAGGCCACTCCTTGGAATTAGCAGAACAGTACAGTCGTCTGGCGTGCCGTAGAAATTTCTTTTCCATTCGTTTGTGTCAACCGTGCAACGCTCTCCCCGATTCGGTTGCTTCTGCAAGCACGCTAGCCGTATCTAAAAGTTGGTTGGATGACGCACTCCGCCCCTCACATTTTGTCACTTGAAGCTACTCTCCATCTTACTTCTGGAAAATGCTTCGGATTTACTTTTTTCGCTTATTGAAGCTATGGATTCGAACCCATGACCTTACTCTTATGAGCCAGCTACTTATGCCAATGAGCAGCGAACCGCCATGATACTAAAGGCTAGGCCACTTCTACCACAATAAACTGAGTGGTCATACGTACAATAAGCATCCAGCAACTAAGGTAACCTGTAAGTTGCAGCCATCAGGCCTCGCGGTTAAACAAAGCCATTCCAAGAAGTAGTGAATTTTGATTATTCTCGAGTTCTTCAGTTATTATCATTTCTGTTGGCAATGAGCATTGACAATTCTTGAAACTAGCTCGGATTATGTGTAGAACGTCTGTAGCTGACTGAAGTTGGACAGCCGAATGATGAATACCATGCCAAATTACCGACAAATATTTCAACCGTGATAAAAGCACATGAGTGTCAGCCAAAGGCGTTGCACCTATAGTGTGGTCCGCAAATTTTACTTGAACTTTAATTCTCTCTAGTAGTCCTTGTGATGCTGTGGCACCCTCTATGTGCACCCTCTATGTGTTCTTTAAGCACACAAGTAGGGTAATTGTTCATCTATGACGTATTCCATCGAAATGATAATGCGCAAGTAGGATCTGGATTTGATGTCAGAAACTTGAGCAATGTGAGGTTCCATAAAATCCCAGCTGCAATTTCCGTAAAGCCGTCCGAATCTCCATAGGGTGGCGCGAACAGACACCTTGTCAGAATCCCTTTGAAAGAGGATCTATAGAGGCATGGTAGTCAGATTTGGCCGCTTGTTAGCTACGTGTAATAAGTTATTGGCTTTGATAGCAAGACTGGCTAAGGGAAACGCGACCCAACGGATATCACATCCACTTAAAACACCGCGAAGAGTAAAGTGTACAATTAACTCGTGAATAGGAGATAACATTTCGTACGCACGAGGTCAGCACTTCTAGTTTGATAGGACCCGAATGGGACGTAGAAAACAGAAGGATGATAGATTGTTGCAGAAAATAATTTTATCACGCATTTGAACATGCAATTCGATATATTTTGTTTGATGCATTCGTTGCTGGCGCAGCAGTTGCAACGATATGCGGTGAGTAGGGATTGTTCAGTACGTGATGCGCACAACAAAAATTCGGCCTTCGAATATGTACCCCCACACACACACATTGTATATCGAACTCACAATATGTGGTGGGTGACTCCGATCGACGTCTGCCGACCTAAGCTTTTCTGACCATTTTGAACTGCACTACACAGTGCATTAACCGCAAGACGATCGCTGCTCACGCCTTGATGTATGGATATGAAATGCTTGTGGTGATGCAGTTTGAAAGCGTTGATGTTGTGACACTGAACACGGTCGGAAGCACGAGGTATGAAACAGCTGCTCATCTTAGGGGAACAGCAGTGAAACTTCGCGCCGAAAGCAGTCCAGGTCCGTGTAGCATAAGCAAAGGAATAAATCGATTGACACATGGCGTGACACTACATTCGTTCCCAGGATAAATTTGTGTATTTGAGAGTCAAATTCCGGGGCGGCTGTTGGGATCTCACCGATTTCTCAGCGGTATCGTAAAGAGTTCGCATGCTTAAACGGGAACTTAGTAAGCCTTCAGCGGAGCCAGACTTGAGGGGAGAAGATGACAAACCTGCTGACCGTTTGCTGTTTTGAACGGCGCTGTCTTCAGTGACTGTCCGCGTCAGCAGGGGTTCAGATGCTTCGTTTCTAGGAGCAGATAATACAAAATGAGAGTTCCCAATTGTGGAATAAGAATGGACAAGTAGATTCAGGTGTTGTGTAACCTAGCTAGCTTAACAAACGGTAACACATATGACATTTCATAACTGTAGGCAGAATAACTAAACATATGTTTGTGCGTTGTGTGCATCACACTATCGGGACCCTTATGCTCTGATCGTGTCGCCATCTACATTCGCGCACAAGAAGCATAGGGTGTAGCAACTATCAGAGTGAAAACTGGAGTAAATCGCCGTGCAGGAGTAGTGGGCCATCAATTACAAGAGACGCTTAGCCGCGTTCCTTGCGGGAGTACTTCGTGTTCCTTTCGCCGGATGAACGTAGAGTGGATAAGTAAGGTTTGATTGTATACCACATAAACAAATTTACAGAGGAACATTATTTTCACAAGCATGACACGAAGTAGAGATCAAATAATGTTCATTTGTTCCTGAGCTCCAGAATCCGTGTTATAGGATGTATAAAATGATATTCCGTAATAATGTGACATACCTGTGATCTAAAAATGAAAATAATTTCCTTATATTGGTATCTCAAAGGCGACGGTAATCGGTAACAAACCACTTTGCGTCCATCGATATCATGGGCTAAGTTTCACAACCGTACAGCAGAGCTGAACAAACGGCTGCATTGTAGATTCTACATTTTAGGACAAGAACGGTGTCGCGCCGGCGCCGCAGTTGGCGAAGATGAGGAAAACCGCACCGAACTATGACTATACTGTATGTCACTACATGTACTGTCCCACATGCGCTGGTACTACAAGCCTGTACCGGTGTTTTCGCGTGCTGCTTGGTGTGTGCATATGAAACTGCGGCCTCAAAATGTGGTAATCACCGAGATGTAATATCCGGTGCGTATTGAAGAAATCCACCACAACTCGACGACAAGACAAGGTTTAAACTCCCAGCCTGACGATCTGATGCTGTATCGGCTCAATCCTTTGTACCGCTCCCCGGGTGATAGGACAATATATGGGTGAGCCGTATGAGTCTTACGACTGAAACGAAAAGAAGAGTGACAATCTCTTCGGACTAAGCGCAGAAGCTGCGTTTGAACGGCCAAAGCATGCGTCGTGTATTATGATAAGAACTACCGAGGGTTTGATAAGAGTGAAGGTAACATTCTGTCTACATCAGCGTTGTCACTAACCCTTTATCATTTGCTGGGATACCATTAAGCAACTGTCGAAGCGCCACCAACATTTGAACACGGTAGCCAATGCATTATGCACTGCTGTCGAGATGTTGCAAACCACCAGCCAAAAACGTCGGCAGCGACCCAATCGGAACTGAGCGGTGTCAAAATCGCCGGGGGTAATTAACATATTTCAAGGACACATGCACCGCTATGCGTCCTCACGTCGTATTCACACCCCCAGACATGCATGGGTGAGTAAATACAGTAGACTTACATGCCATTGGTGGGTCGGCAAATTAGTGCGCTCCAATCTCACCCTGACCTGCGCGGCTGATCTACAGCGACTGAGCAGAATCAAAAGACTCTTATGAACAGCGCTGACACAGCGCTGCACAGCGCTGACAAGAATTCACGCGCATGTATAGACAGTCAATAAGGGGTGTGTACGTATCCGGCTAGCGATAGTGTGCGTGTGTAACATGACAGCTGGATAAAAGGTATTGGACACAGCAGCATCACGTAGTCAGTGACTGCGCCATACCAGTCGTGTCACCAACCCGTGATGTGGCCTACCACGAGGATCCCATCTACGACGACGTCACGCATCAGCATAATTAAGTCTGTTGGTCGCCTGCTTAATGCCTTGAAGGCATGTCATCGGCTGGCCCCAACATGGTTTCACCCCACTAGTTGCACAATTGGCATTCAATGCGCTTTCAAAATTGGTCAACGGGCACACAGAGAACATCGTAAACTTATGGAATGCACTACCTGAAGGATTAATAGAGGTCGATTCTGTGAAGTTTTTAAAACCCGTATCGACGATTATTTTGGAAACCTGTGCTTTTGTGAAACGATGCACATACAGTGCCAAAGGAAGACATTGTATGCCCGGAAATAATGACACTAGTACAAATTTCTAACCGAACAAGGATAAACGATTAACGGACCAGACACAACTGCTGATAATTCACAAGTAAATTTTGATTATTCGTAATTCGATAGAGTTGCACAGAAACCTTTCTACTTGTTCTTAAATACACTCTCAGTCTCAACACAAGCGGTTAAGCTTTAGAGAACAATTCCGTGAGGCGTTGGGAGGTTTCATACGAAGCACCCACTGCGGACCTCAGTAAAGCTCGCTCAGTGACCCAACCAGCTGTGAACAATACACTGCAAACATCCTGCTCATTTGTAATCAAGAGGTCCATCTCAATCAACTGAGTAACAAATTAAATAGCCTGCACCAAAACATCACGGTGACAACGGAACATGAGCAGAATGATAGTTTGCCGTATTTGGACATCTTGATAGAACGCAGGAACGATGGATAGATACGTAGATCTGTCTACCGCAAACCCACATGAACTTCCATAGCTTTGTTCCAAAGCGCTACAAACAGGGCCTGGTGCGGACTCCGCACTCCTGACACGCTCGAACAGGTGCAACTGCTCACCAACACCCTGACAGAAAACGGGTACCTGCCTGTTTTCGTCGCTGAATTTAGGAACCAGATAGCAGAAGAGAAAGTACCCACCGTACCGAAATTGAAAGTAATGCTGCAACTACCTTTTAAGGGAAACGATGTAAGCCAAGTATTTCAACGACCTTTAAAATCCGCAGCGGCATGTGTGTACCCCGCGGTGCAACCGGTATTACTGTACACGACTGGCATCCCTATTCCGTCGGTCCAAACCTCAGTCCAACCGTTCACACGTTCTTTACCAATTTACATGTAGTTGCAAGGCCGACTACGTGGGTATGACAGCGTCAGTTGCAGATGAGAATTCCGGAGCATTTGCCGAAGTGAGTGAGACGACACGTCTCGCAAACGACCTCAACCATCCCCGCATGTGCTAACGATTTGCCATACAAAGTTGCAGCCCGACACTTGCTGACAGACAGACACAACGTGGACCCTACGCGCACATTCCAGGTGATCTTCGCGTCAAATAATACCCACGTTTTACGATAATGGCGAAGCGGTGGCCATCAAACAACTGGGCCCCACCCTATGTGTACAAAAGGACGCGTTCGTCACATTGGCTCTGCCATGGTAGTAGGCCACCTGACAGACGAACAAATGTGTGGGTGGCTGTCTATGTGTGCCGGTGCATGTCCTTTGGTGAATTTGCTACCCCAACTATACCAGATGTCCATGATGGTATATACATATGTTTGCACGCAATTTGCAGCACGCACTTGATAATATGGAGAAATTTTTCCGGATATAAATCGTGCGGTGCTATCATGCTAACGTTCCAGTAGAAAATCTTTTAAGGTTTTCAGCGCGAAGTGACCGTGTCTGCGGTCCGTACAGTAACATCAGCCTTATCGCAGGGTTATACACTCTGACAGACTATTATCCAACCTCCTGCATTAGATGCATAAGCCTTCGAAAATCCAAGGGCTTTGCAGATACATGAAGTAATCACTTCAGTGACGTGACCAAGGGAAATCAGACAACTACCATGGTAAGGGAACCCATATACCACTTCCAGAATCATCATCATCATTATACTCGTTAGCTAGGGGTGGGAAGTTCGACCCTATTGTATGGTTGTGAAACCTGGCCGCTTAAAGCAGCAGACCTGAAGAGGCTAGTTACGTTCGACCACCGGTGCCTTCGTAATTTAGCTCACATTTGGTGGGAACACCGCGTGAGCAACGAGCGTGTTCGACGCCTTGTTTATGGCACAGAAAAGGAAATGAACCGCTCAGCACCGTTATTTCACGCATCAGGCTCCGATGGCTTGGCCACGTGTTACGCATGCCAGCCCACCGACTCCCGCGACGTGTGTTGTTTGCGCGCCGGGGGTGTGGATGGAAGAAGAGGAGGGGTGGCCAAGCGATGACTTGGTCCAGAGGAATGAAGGGCCTCACTTCGGGGCTGGCCTCGGTTGGAGCGTCTCGGCTCCCTGGTTGGGGTCCGAAAGACGATAAACACGTTTGGTTGGACACACTTGCTGATATGGCTTGGAGACGACCTCAGTGGCGTTCATGCTGTGAGTTTCTTTGTCCCACCCCATCCCTCTTAGTCTCCCCCTCCAACCGCGATCTCATTACTTAGCCTTATATAATTTTGCATAATAATTTTTTTCTTGGGTGCACAGTAGCCGGCTAGTAGCTTACCGGAACGATGCCCATCCGTTACCGGTAGCTCAGCCAGTTTGCACCAGTTGTTTTTATTCCTCTCCTTTTTTTCTTTGTATTGCGGCACAGTAGCTGAAATGTTCCCCACCTCTAGCTAACGTGAAGAAAAAAGTGCATGTGTAAGCCAGCTGAGCTACCGGTAAGGGATAGGCATCGTTCCGGTAAGCTACCAGCCGGCTACTAGGCAACAACAAAAATTACTATGCAAAATTACATAAGTCTAAATAGTGAGATCGTGGTTGGAGGGTGAGGCTAAGTGGGATGGGGTGGGACAAAGAAACTCAGCACGAACGCCATTGAGGTCGGCTCCTAGCCATGTCAACAAGTGTATCTAGCCGAACGTGTTCATCGTCTTTGGACTCCAACCAGGGAGCCGAGACGCTCCAACCGAGGCCAGCTTAGAAGTGAGGACGTTCATTCCTCTCGACCAAGTCATCACTTGGCCACCCCTCCTCTTCTTCCATCCACAACCCCGGTGCGCAAACAACGTACGTCACGGGAATAGGTGGGCTGACATGTGTAACACGTGGCCGAGCCAACGGAGCCTGGTGCGTGAAATAACTGTGCTGAGCGGACCACTTCCAGCAGCAAGAACCGATAGGGTTTTGGCCGAATCCTGCAGTCATACTACTTTACACCTCGAAGATGCAATGAAATTGTCGAAGAATGGGGCG